GTAAAAATTATGTAACAACCAGAGCAAGGATGTGTGAAATGAATCCTCACTGTTCTCTGTACATCAGAAAGAGCTGTTGGAGATTGGTTAAACATCTACGGAAGAGGAATAGGACCACTGAAAAAAATAAATAAAATAAATAAGCATTGTCTGCAAGTATTGTGCAACACGTGCAACACGTTTTGTTTAAGCTAACAGCAACATGACCAACATGTCAGACTAACAATCAACATATACCGAACCGAACCGAAAACCGTGACCACGAAACCGTGAACCGAACCGAACCGTGGATTTTGCAAACCGTTCCACCCCTGATATATATATATATATATATGTATATGTAAATATAAATACATTTACATACAACAGTGATACAATAACATACCATAACGAGCATGATCTTATCATGAAGAGATCAAAATCTACTTTCTTCAAAGCAAACAGGTCTCATGATGTAACAAACGACAGAGAGAAGATTAGCTGAGAAGAATATAAGGATTTGGGTTCAAACTTGTCATTGATGAACAACCTGGAGGCTGAAGTATTTCTGCATGAAATTCTTTTTTTTCTAAGTACTTTGGCATCTTTCCACATACCAAAAACATGACTGTTAGATTAATAGTCTTAATCAAAGTTGCCCTTTGGTATGATAGGTGCGTCTGTTTTTCTTTTCTTACCTTTGTGTTTCTCTATCGCCCTGTTAAGAACTGCTTTTCATGCTTAATCCTAACAAAACCTGACTGAGCTTTAAGACAACAGCAACTAACAGATTTTGCACGAGTAGAACTGGACATATCAGAGCTACAGGAGGAACCGGCTGAGAATAAAGAACACCAGGGAGCTCACATACTGAGGTAAGGCTGGAGGAAGAGGGAGAGCTCAATCAGCGGATTATGGAACAGCTATGGCACAGTGTGAGGAGGGCGAATAATCAACACTCTGCTAAAAATAGAGAAAAAATTCAAGAATGAACTAAACGCCAAACAGAGGAATATATAAGAAGATAAATATGAGGAAATAGGAAATGGCCGAACCAGAAAACAGAGGAAAGAAATTGGTAAAAATAAACCAGTTGATGATGATGATGGTGAAGCTTACAGGGTGGAACCTGCCTCTCCACATAAATGCAGAAATAGTGCAGATTTAATACAGGCCTTTCACTGTCTTTACTGGATTACTGAGAACATTTTAACGCGATTTAACACATTTTAATATTAATCAGGGTTAAAATGATCAATTTAACCTTCCAAATTTATTTAGTTGTTTACTGAATTAAAGCAGCGGCACCCCCACGCTACGCCGCTTGGAATAACTGACAGAAAATGGATGGATGAATGTTTTCTGAATTAAGGGAAATTAAGATGTAAATTGTTCTGCCTGACAGGAGCTCGTCATTTCATTAATGCTATCAATAAAGGCTTTGGAAAATAAATACATTTTCCACACATGAATTGCTTGATTTAACTCATACAGAATGATTCATATTATGAATTTGCTGCTGTTCATAGAGCAGCTATTAACTACTATTACTAGGGATGCACGATATTGGGATTTTGGCCGATATCCGATATTTTAAAACTC